TCACTAACCTTGTTGTTTTAAAGTTGATTGTGTTTTTTTTCTCTCTCATTTTAACATTTTTCCACATTACTTACCATGTTGCTGTGCTTGCAGCAAATGAACGTATTTGTAGAAACTCAAAGCACACACACACAAAAATCACTTGTTTTTACAAAAGTAAAAGACACTTAGAATAGTTTCAAAACCTTTATTCTGAAAAATTAGCTTTTTCTGATTTTCTGCCTACTGATAAAATTCAACTGAATTTAAAGTTGTAGTGGGAAATGCCCTTAAGAAAAGGGGAGGAAAATCAACACAGAGACTAACACGGTGGGAATTGTGTAACCTGAGGTAGTATAGCTATGAAAATTGACCGTTCAAACAATAATTAAGATTTCACTGTGTTTTCTTTTCTTAATTATTTAAAACAGATATCCAATATTAATCAAGCATATTATGAAATTTCTGATAGGAAATTTGATTGTGGATGCAGGAGATTAAATGTAATATGAAATAAGGTAGTTTTTTTACCCATCATGAAAAATCTGTCTAAAGCTAGCAAGGAGCATGGCTCGTATTTGCCTAGTGGTTCTGCAATGAGTATTTTATTGGAGCTACAGAGCCCCTTTTCTTAAAATACAGCACATCACACACACTAGTTGGTAAGTCTCCTAGATCATCCAAACCTTACCTAGATTTTGTAACTTGATAAAATAGTTCAATATGTAAAGTCCACAGCAATGGGCATTTTCTTTACAATGCACAGCACAGCCAGCCAGAGCTGGTGATGCTTCAGTCAGTGCGCCTCTGTCATCGAGTCAGAGTTGGCTCATTAGCCGGCTAACCCCCTGAGTCTCTGAGGCTGTAAAGTGAACAGCAGGAAATTGCCCATCTTTCTCCCTCAGTGCTACTGATAGATTCAAATCAACAGGAAGGCTTGGCCTTTGGGTTGGTGGTACCGCCAGAGCTCCCTCACAGAGCTCAGGGATAACAGAACTACCTCATTTTTCAGTTGAATTAATGGGATTGAATGACTTGCCCAAAGTTGAACAGCTACTTGGTTGCAGAGACAAGATCTCCGACCCATCAAATCCCCCTTATGAAACCTATCTGATACCACAGATAGAAGTAGCTTACAGACACCTTTCAGGCTGGAATAGTGACGGTTTCCAATATTTCAGGTTACTCCTCATTAGTAAGCTGGAAAGCTGATTTAGTATATTTGTGCCGCCAGTGTGCAAACCTCACCTCTCTGTCAGTTCAAATCCATCAGAAGCTCCGAGAAAGAAAGATAAGCAAATCTCTCATTTGGTTTATAGGCTTAGAAAGCACTGAAGGGTGAGCTAAAAGTGGGTTCCAACTCACTGACTATGAGAGAGATGGTGTGGTCACAGTGCAGACAAACAAGGTGGAATAAAGATCAAAGCCACTAAACAAAAATCAGTCTAGAAAGTCTGATGTTGTTGTTGTGTACCAGAGTCGGAACTGACCCACAGCTGACCAGTAATTGCATGGGAGGAGACTGCCCTTCCTTCTCCTGCAGAGACGGAGCAGCTGGTGACCTCGAACTGCATGCTTTCCCGATGGCAGCGCAGCTTCTTGCCACTAGGCCACCAGAGCTCCAGAAAGTCTGATAGCGCTACCCATACCCACGAAAGGCAGCAGCCTGAATAAAGAAGGAGGTTGACAACATTTTGAATAGGCATAGGACAGAATCTGGAAAACCACAATGCTTACTACTAAACAAAATACATTCCACACCCTTATCTTTGGGCTTCAACTCATTCCGACCCCTCTTTGCCTGTTAAATCTTTTCCTGCTACACTCTGACAGACTGTATATACACGCTGATTTGCACTGAGTTAATTTCAGTTCATGACAACCTCACATGTATTAGAGTGGCTCTGAGTTACACACAATTTCCAGTGGCTGATAGTTTTGGAAGTAGATCCGCAAGGCCTTTCTCCTAAGGACCCTCTGGATGGGCTCAAACATCTAAATTAGGTTCCATTTGCACCACCCTGGGCCTCCTTGACAGACACATTTCCTTAACTGAGAGTTTTTCTCCCACCTCTATTACACACTATTTCTCCATGAAACACTCTTTGTGATCCAAGTCCAATACTTTTTGGAAGTAAGCAAACAAATTCCATGAAGAAGCTTCTATCTAAAATAGACCTCTCCTCCTGAATATCATGAAACCCTTTTAAGAACGCAGCCTTACTGATCTTCGGATCTCACTAGCTACACAATGCATTAAACAGGTACTCAATTTTTGATGGTTAGCCTCTCCTCTGTAAGTCAAAGCCTCTTGGAGAACAGAAACCAAGTCACAATTTTGCATTTTCAGAGTCTAGCAATATGTCTTAGGACTAAATTAGTACCTAAATATTTTCTTTGTTAAAGGTTATAACTCCTAATCTGGTTAGTCTGTTGATTGACAAAGACTAATAGACTAAATTGTAAACTTGATTCGGTCAAAAAAGGAAATATTCCTACTTCTGTGCCTCCTCTCTGTGCTTCCAGGCTCTCCCAGATACCTGAGGGAGAAGGGGAACACACCCATTATTTCAAGTTATCCTTGAACCCAATAAAGAGAACTACAGTCACTATGGTTATACTAATTTACCCTGTCAACATGACCATCAATTAGTCATAATTTTGGCAGTGATAGCCCTCATAAAATACATTAGTGTCTTTGCTCATTACTCAAGATGGAAAATTAGAGAAAAGATCACATGGTATTTTATTTCATCAGTGAAAATAACTGTGAGATTGGAAAGCAGGACAGTCTTGCAAAGTATCGCATAAGAATGATTCAATAATGCCCACTGACTCCTCACATCCAACCTGCCTCCAACAACCCCGTAGTCTGCCAGTTAGTGGCAGACACAGCCTCCCTGCAAATAGTTTTCTACATTACACCCTCTGAAGTACAGTAAGTTTGCTTAAGCTTCTGGCCCACTGTCAGTGGCTGTCTGGCCCACTGTCAGTGATGTTTCACCACTCAAATCTAACTTAATTCCACCTCAGGAAGCTTTTTTTCCCCCATTTAAACATAGAGTCTGTTGTTGAGTGCCTCTGAGTTCATTTCCATTCACAACTAGTCCACATGATAGCATAAAGCTGCCCTAGACAGCTTTCTTGGCTATAATTTTTATGGAAACAGACCTCCAGGTTTTTCTCTCAAGGAGCTGCCAGGAGGTCCTAAGCATCAACTTTTTGATTAGCAGGAAAGTGCTTTTACAGGTTCTTCATAGCTCCTCTTTCTCTTTTTTCTACTCTTAACATTTTACCCAAGTAAAACTACCTCCTGGTTTCCTCTTATATGTTCTTGTTATGTCGACATCAAGTCGATTACAGCTCATAGCAACCCTACTATGCACAATAGCTCTGAACCCTGCTCTATCCTGAGCCAATCTCATTATCTCTGACACACCAACTGCCATTAGTCCAGAGTTACTGTGTCAGTCTATCTCACGGGGTCTTCCTCTCCTGCGCTGTCTCTCCACTCTTCCAAGCATGATGTCTTTCTCCAAAGACTGGTCGCTCCTGGCCACTAAGCCAGTGATACAGTGATTGTTGTTTGTTGTCATGTACCTTTGCTTTGGCAGCACAATTCCTTACCACTAAGCCACCAGAGTTTCCCTGAGACAAGAAGCTATGCTGCAATCCTGAAGGCTAATGGTTCAAATCCAACAGCTCTTCCACAGGAGGAGGATGGGCAGTCTCTCCTGTGACTAACCACTTCTGAAAACCCACTGGAGGATCAGCTATGCATCATGGCAGTCTGCTTCCAGAAATTCTTGGAAACCTGACAGTTGGTTCTACTTTATGCTACCAGATCACTAAGAGAAATGAAAGTGATTCCAAAGCTTTTGTTGTACCGTCAGCCCAAAGCTGCATAGTTTGATTCCACCAGCTATTCCTCCAGAAAAAAGAAGGGCAATCTCCTCTTGTGCGATTTACAGCCTCTGACAACGCTATGGAGCATCAGCTGTGAGTCCTTCTGTCTCTACTGGCAATGATTTTTTTTTAAATTTTGCTTATGAATGCTAGGTATTAATTTCAAAAAGAGTTGATACATCTGTGTCAAGGAAAATAAAGCCATCGGCTTCAAACCTATGAAGTTGTGACACTGTAAAGGGTATCTTTTTAAATTCTGTGGCTATGAGTTTAAATCTACCTTTCTTCAATCGCCATCACAGACCACATTTTTGTTTGCTTACTTTTGGGCCTGCACGACAATTCGTGCTATGTTTGACCTCTCAAGAAATAATACCTTACTTTAATACTACAGAAATGCAGCTTTATTGCAGAGAAATTTAGCTCTTACGGATGAATCCAAAGTTGCTGTTATAAATGACCTTCTAATCCAAACTGATAAAAACCAAATTGGATGCTATTTGCAAGTTTCAACTTAACACAAAATAGTGATTGATACATCCTAAAATGCCCACTCTATCAAATCCTACTGTCAACATTAAAAATTAAGTTTCTCGGCTCAACTTGAAGTTCAAGTCTCAATTCTAGTCAAAGACAAGGAATGTCAGGCTTGGAAAGTCCAGAGGGGATCACAGCACAGGGATTGAAATTCTCTTAAGACAGGGACGCGAGAGATTCAGAATGCACATACAGCTAGAACCTCTGCAACGCTTATTATACTTTCAACTCAACGTAGAAAACTGATGAATTAAAACTTTTCAACTTGGAGGGGCGGAGTAGGTGTCCTCCCTGCGTGTGGAAAACACCGCCCCTTTGGGGCTCAGTTCTTTCTTCTCAAATGCACAACAGAAGCTATGTGTAACCTTTATCCCGAGAACGAGTTAGGAGGCGGGAAGCCAGGGCGGGAGGAGGCAGGTAGCGGGAGGCTCTCCGGGGGTGGCTCTGTTTTCCCGGGCTCCGGGACGCTGCAGCCCCGCGGGACCCAGGAGGCGCCCGCGGAGCTGAGGATGCGCAGGGGGGAGGAGGGGCACTGGGGAGGGACTCAGGGCGCGGGCTGGGGAGGGAAGGCGCCAAACCCTGCACTCACCCGCGGGGCGCTCGGGCAGGATAGGCCGCCACCTCAGGGCCCGTTCACTCAGCACGACATCGCAGCTGCCCCTCCCAATCTCGAAGATGCCCCGAAGCAGGATCTGCTCGGCGGCTGGCTGCTGCGGAGACGGCAACAGCGCCGAGGGCACCGCAGCGGCCGCCGCCGGGGGCGCCTCTTCCTCCACGCCGCCCTCCAGTGCTCTCACTCGACTGCCGCGCCTTCCCCGGGGCATGGCTGAGCCGCACGCTGGGCCCGAGCCAGGGGTCCCAGGGAGGCCGGCGCACGAGCAGCGGGAGGTGGAGGAGGAAGCTGCGGCTCGTTCCAGCTGCGTCCGGCGCTGCCCAGCAACGGCGCGCGGGCAGAGACCGAGCGGGGAGGCGGGGCGCGCAGGCGGGGCCGTCGGGTCGGCTACCCGGCAGCCAGTCTCTACGCTCTGCCTCTCACCACATAAAGACCCCAGTCCTGCAGGAGGAATGACTAGTTCTTCCCCTAACGCCTGCGAATAAGAGGGAATTTAACGCATTGCTTTGCTGGGAGTTGCATAAATGGCGCTTCTAAAACTTATTTGCACACTTATGTCCTGGGGATTCTCACTAAACAGATCATGCTAAATTGCAGATTCGCACTAAACACATTCGGTTGAGAGCCATCTCAAACGAATGCTTTTCTTAAAAGTTGGCAAAAAAAAAAAAAGTTGGCAAATTATGGCTTTGACTCTGATCCTTGGATCACGCTGTGATTTGCAAGAGTGTGGACCTGTTTTTCAGTCCTTCCCAGTGTCCACTCTCGGAGGGCCGAGGCCCTTCTTGCAGGTGCAGCAGCCAGCTACAGCCAAGCTGACCTTAAGCAGCTGGGAGATACTGGCAACTCAGTTCCCAAGAACGCTAAGGAGTGGATCCTGGTTTGTGTACAAACGCCGCTGCAGAGTCCTTCAGACTCCAAAGACAGTTGTTCCTTTGTTTGTTACAACAGAACAGAGTTGTCCTTGGGTTCCCATAGCTAACCTTCCAAGAGATTTTCAGACGCAAGGCGAAAGATTGCTCATCTTTCTCCTGCGGAAGAACTAGTGGATTTGAACCAGAGTGGAGTTGCCTGAAAGGCTTTCCGAGGCTGTAAATCTTTGCATCTTTCTCCTGTGAAGCACTGGTGAGCCCCAGCTCTGACTAGTTAACAGCTGAACTCCTAACCTACTGTGTCCTTCAAGCTCTTCTGGTTTATATACTAAACCCACTGCTATGAGACATTCGTTTGTGCCTGGTGGTTGTGGTTGTTGTTGTGTGTAACCCAAAGGCCCAACACCTTGCCCCTCACTACAACTAGACAAAACACCACTGGATTTATGCTGTATTTCTCCACAATCTGTGCTTTGCTTATTAAGCTCATTGTAGCCACAGTGCCACTCCGTCTCCTGTAGGGTCTGTGGCCTTGGATCAAGTATGATTGGTGTCTTCTCCAAGGACTGGCTCTTTCTGAGAACATGTCCAGAGTATGTGAAAGAAATATCTCATCATCCTTGCTTCTAAAAAGGATTCTTAATGTCTACCATAACAGCTCTGCTTGTTCTTTTGGCAGTCCATAAGAGACTCAGTATTCTTCCAACACTGTAGTTCAAAGGTATTATTTCCACTTTGATTTTCCTTATTTATTGTCCAATTTTAGCATGTACACAACCTGATTGAAAATACCATGGCTTGAGTCAGAAGGCATGTTAGTCCTCAAAATAACACCAGTGCCTTGGAAGAAAGGCCTGGAGATTAATTTCTGTAAAAGCAGCTATTGCAAACCTTATGTAGCACAGTTCTACCCTGACAAACATGGAGTTGCCATGCATTCAATGGCTATTGAGTCTTTAAGATAGTGTCCACCTCTGTGGTCTTGTCTTTATCCAGATCTAGCACTCCATGGGGAGAGATAATGGTGTTCTCAAAAAATTCGCTGCTATAATGAGGAACGTGGAAATTGAGTGCTACGTGGAAATTGAGAGAGCCATAGGGAGTTGGGAGGAGTCTTGGTTAACTAACTCCAGGTTGCTAAGATTCAGGAAAGTTTGTCCCTTTGGAAAGCAGAGTCTCCAGGCCAGTGATTTTCAACAGTGACGGCACATTAAATGTACATAGCGAGTTTGATTTTTAAAAAATCCCAGTGCCCAGCTCTCCCTTAAAATAATTGTGCTGTAGAGTTGTTTCCAACCCATGGACACCAAAAGAAAAGAACAGACCATCTTTCTCCCAGTTAGTAAGATCAAACCACTAATTGGGCTTTCAGTTAGCATGTAGTGTTTAACACTGCACCACCAGGACTCCTTCAAACCACATTCCAAGACTTTAAATCAGAGCATCTTACTTCTTTTCTTTCTTTTTTTAAAGCTCCTCAGGGGATTTCAGCGTTCAGCCAAGGCTGAGAATATTGGCTCTAAGCAGTGTAATGACACAGGAAGCTGTTTCTGGTGGGGAGTAGACAGACAAGGAGCAAGGATGCCTATGGAAGAGGAAAAGAGTATGACGCAGAAGCCTGAGGGGCAGGTAGAATTGTACTGAGGAAATAAGGGATAAGATATGTAGAAGTTAAATTCATGTCATTATTAATTAATCCTGGCATGTCGTTGCTGTTGTATACCGTCAAGTTAGAACCAGAACCAACCCACAGCTGACCCTCCCACAGGTTTTCAGAGACAGTTAATCGCATGGGAGGAGGTTGTCCATCCTTTTCACTCAGAGCAGCTGGTGGCATGCCTTTGGGATTTCACACAGCTTCTTACCACTAGCCACCAGTCCTGGCATATGCATATCCAAATAATAACATCAGTCCCTTCTCTTTCTGCCTTCATCACTTTTATGCTGCAAACTCAAACAGAAAAGCCAAGAGTAACAGGAGTTTCTCAAAACTCTATTCATACTTGGATTTCATAAAAAGAGAGAGAGAAACTATGTTTGCAGGCTTAGCCAAATCCCTTCCAAACATAAAGCATCCATGTGCCTGTTGAGCTAAGACTCTTACTGTTTAATGCTCCAAAAACAAATACGCCAGCTTCTAGGCAAAGAGGGGGAGAGCCTCAGTTTGATCTGATCACAGTGAGCTGTTTCATGGAGCAGAAGTGCAGCTGCCACTACGCCCCATGTAAGTGAGCTTCTGGTGGCTCTGCTCAGCAGTCACTAGTGGGGAAGGGCTGGTGCCCTCCAGAAGGAGTTGCAGCTCTGGAGTCAGCATCTTGTACTCACAGCTGTCAGGCAATCAACACAATCAGAGCTCACTGGCATTTTAAAAGCTCGCTGAGAGCCAGGGCAAACAGGCCAAGGCAGTGGCTACCTATTAGGTCATTTACGAGAGAGGATTTGCCATTTTTCAAGATGTCATCAAGTCTGAGTCATTGGTTTTTGCTTTCAGAAGGCTCTGTGATTGCTGGGGAAAGGAAGTTAATAAGGACCTTTTTTAATATTTGGTTCTTTCCCTTTGATGTGATGGCTTCATCCACTGTTCTAAAGGTTGCCATGTCCCACAGTTATGCTCAGATCTAGCTACACGAATGTCAGTACTAGGGTTTTAAGTATTAGACAGGTCTCTCAGATGTTTGTCTCTTTGTATGGCCAACTGCCTATAAGACATCTCTATTTAGCTATCTAACAGGCGTCTTAAAAGTATCTAAGACCACACCAGGGATCTTTTCATCTAAAACCTGTCCCTTCCAGAATGTTACAAGTCTAAACAAAGAATGCCCCCCAAATCTTGGATGTCATTCATTTCTCCTTACTTTGCAGCAAATCTATCTCATCTATGGACTATACTTCAATTTTGTTTTGCTTTCCGTTTTCTCTCATCCTAGTCTGTGCTGCTGCATGTCCACCTGATCTCCTTTAATAGCCTACCAACCCACCCTGCTACCCACCTCCCTTTCTTAAACTGCCTCCCCCAGCCTAGAGTCTATTCTTTACCTAGAACTTACATTGTTCCTTTGAGAACAGATTGAACAGTATAACTCTTAACAAAAGGAGGAGAAATGTAGAACCTATTTTAAAATCCTCACAGGCTCCAGAAAGTGTTGGGCTAGATGAGCCCTTGAAACTATTGCTATGAAGTACCATATAAACTTTAAACAAACAAATAATCAAACAATGTTACTGTTGTTGCTATGTGCCATCCAGTTAGAACCAACTGGTAACTGATCCTACAGGAAGGCGGTTTTCAAATGTATAAATTGTTGAATTGATATGTGTATACCAAGATGATATCACTTTTTTCTCAAAACTTTCCAGTGACTTCCCATCACTCTTTAGAAGGTTGAGAGGCAAATCTATTTCCTTTCCTTTTCCAGCCTCTTAAATCTCATGGTTCAAGGATCCTTTTCCTATCTTTAAAATCATCAACATATCTTTTCGTTTCTCTCTGAAGTCTGTCTCTTTACATTTTATCATCTCTTTGATTTTGTCCTTCTTGCCTCCCTTTTATAAACTCAAACTTAAAAACTCATTGTTGTTAAGTTGGAATCAACTCACAGCTCGCCCTCCAACAGGTTTTCAGAGGCTGTAAATCACCAAGGAGGAGACTCCCATCATTCTCCTGTAGAGCCACTAATGGATTAGAATCACTTGCAGTGAATTGGCTGCACAAATCTTTATTCAATAGGCCACCAGCGTTCTCTGCCTTTTATAAAGGCTCTAACTTAATAGCATTTGCAAAGTCCTTTTGCAATGTCTGATTCTGGAATTAGGACACAGACAGCTTCAGGGGGCCTATAATACTTTATTTTTTTAATACCATATTTATTACTCTTAATATGTTTACTTCTTTTTTTTACTACATGGGATGAATTAATGCATTTGCTAAAAGGCTAGAGTCAGCAATCACTAAATTTTAATTAATATGGTTGTTGCTGCTACTGTTAAAATGTAAACTCTTTGTTGGTATGAAATTTATCCTGTTTTTTATGGAAATTTAGTATCAAGTACAGTACTTTAAAAGCACCAGCAGTGAAAAAGATACTTAGCTGCTAAGGGAAAGGTTGTTGGTTTGAATTCACCCAGGAGTTTGTGGGCAGACAGATGATATACATCAGTAAGTTTATAGCCTAGAAAGCTCTGTGAAGTAATTCTACTCTGTCATATAAAATTCCTGTGTTGAGGCTGACTCAATAGCATCTACCAACTACACAGTGTCTCGTAAAGAGTGAGGACTCAAAAAATATTGTACTGAATAAATATTCTGGTGAATGAATGAACATCTTCAACAGCTGTATTT